TGCCCTCTGTCACACATTTGCCTTGCTCTTATATTTTTCCTCAGGACCGAGTATAAAAACCCTGCACATTCTCGTTGGATGACCAATGACGTGCTTCGTTCAATTAAAACTACATATTGCTGCATGAGGGAAGGGTTATTGAGGAAGCAACTGGAGTTGGATGGGGTTAACCTGGGAGGCTTCCTGGAGGAAAAGCTCAAGTAGTGTTTTACAAATGGGCAGAACCAGACATGGTTCGAAGAGGGGAAAAGCCAACCTGTGCATTCACTCAGAGACATGGTTCAGGTGGGTAGATATGTCTCTGCAGCTGCAGAGACAGACGGGTCAGATCAGGTGGTCTGGACGGAAGTGGAGGGTCGGTGACCCGAGTAGCAGAGGCTCCGTGAAAATGGGGGAATGACATGAAAGCTGCCCTGTTGCTCCTGGGGCTGGTATGGAAGAGGCAGACTCCGCCCTGGCAGGTGGAGCGGGCTCCCGCCCCAGTGTTCCAGCTGATCTGAAGTGGTGAAGCTTGAAGCACTTGTGCGGTTTCCTCAGAGCCCTGAACATTGAGCTTCAGAGCTAGCAAAGGGGAGGTAAACATCTGGGAGTCCACTTTGTTCACTGAAAATCTTAAACCACAAGGAACACTCATCTCCCCACACCTAAGTTGTTTTGGAGGGAAGCCTAGGCAGCTTAGCACCTAATATGCACCGTAGGCTGGAGGGGGAGAAGCAGGCGGGCCGGACCTGTTGAGCCAGACCTGTTGGGGCAGCAGGAGGCCTCTGGTGTTCCCATGAATAAAGAAACTCAGAGTTGGTGTCTATAACAACTTTCAACGCTTTTATGTCCTCGTCTTTCAGTCTCTACCATAGGGTGCAGACAGTCGGTATATGTTAAGTGGAGATATACAGTGTCTTTGTTTCATAGTTATGGACGCTAGGGACAAAGTGGAAGGAGAGTGGGAGAGGGGAAGAGTGTAGGAAATGAAAGTTGGGGGAAAAATAAACTCAGAGTTGGTGTCTATAACAACTTTCAACGCTTTTATGTCCTCGTCTTTCAGTCTCTACCATAGGGTGCAGACAGTCGGTATATGTTAAGTGGAGATATACAGTGTCTTTGTTTCATAGTTATGGACGCTAGGGACAAAGTGGAAGGAGAGTGGGAGAGGGGAAGAGTGTAGGAAATGAAATTTGGGGGAAAAATCGAGGTCAGACATTTGTGGGACACAGATATGGTTTATTATCTGTTGATGAGGACGTGCATAGTATTCTCAACTGGGCTGGACTGAGGTGTGTATCGTGCTGGGTAAAGTCTCTTTACAAGCTAAATGATGTATAGTGATTGAATGTATAAACAATAATAATAATTGGAAAAAAAAACAAACAAAAGAAAGAAACTCAGGGTTCAGAATGAAACTAAGGTAGTTCATGGCACCCAATCCAGTCCAAGGCAGAGCTGTTCTTCCTCCTGCCTGATTGACCAGGGTCCCCTGGTGGTCTCTGAGCATCCCCAGGGGGTTGTCATTGCCTCTACAGCCAGAGCTTCAATTGGCTAAAAATCATCCTGTTCTTCCCTCCCCCTCTTCTCATTATTTCTATATAAAGCTGTAGATTTATCATTATAATAGAGCTGCCGTCACCAGGGTTTGCTAACATCTCTGTAATCTTGTAGTTATTGCTACAGAGGCCTCAGACCCCAGCGCACACAACTATTCCTGTCGCTGTTCCTGCTCCTTTGCTGCGGAGGGAGGTGAGGGCTGTAATTGGGACCATAAATATGTGCTGT